AAAGAGTTCGGTTCTTGGTTGGAGTATAGTGTAGAAAAAGATGCCGCTTATTATTTGTATGGTTATCTTTTTAAATCAAGTTCTGGAAAACAAGGTGGGGGTGAGTATTTTGTTGATGAAGGTTTTACATGTTGGAAAGAGAAAAAAAGCTTCATATTCATGTTGGAGAACATGATGGTGCACACAATCAAGCTCGCATTAAGTGCGAAGTTTTGATTAATCAAGACCAACACATTCAATTAGTTTTGTACAACGGTATCAAAGTATGAAAACTCGAAAAGAATAAGTGTAATTTATAAACTATATCATTTTAGTATTGTCGATATATTGTGCCCACCCTGACAAAAAATCCTAACTCCTCCCCTGTGCACACATGGCACTAACTCAAAGAAAGATGATTTCCTCCTATCCTAATTTAGGAGATTCCTTTCCTTTTTCCTCACCCTATTTTTTTGTACTATAAATTGGGAGTTGTATGTGTAGCTATTCAATATAGAAATTACATTATATTATTTCTGCTTTCATACACATTTTGAATGGCACATTTTAGGTACTAAACTTGACTTACACCTAAATATCCATAGTCATTGAAATCATAGATTCATAGTACAATATTGAGATTTTACTCAATTCACACAACTGATTGTAATCACTAAGGTGAGTTCCCGGACTAACAAATCAGAGCTAGCAAAATAGTCATACAGCATCTGATTCAATTCCGACCGATTCATATCCTTCACTAGATCCACAGATTCATATCTGGTTTAATTTGACCCATTCAATTCTCCTGATTTTGGCCACTATAATAATATCGAATTTATTTTGTTCAATATCCCAGACATCCAATTCTTTCATTCTGACCAACTCTCTTATTGTCATTATAGATAATCAGTCGTTCAGCACTTATGCTGCAATTATTTTTCAAGTAAACCACACATAGAAGAATCAGAAACCTAAATCTAATTACCACTAGCAGCTAAATTAATCACTAGCCAGCACTGAACAAATCAATTAATGAACTCATAATTTCTCTCCAAAAGTTTAATCTTTTGTTTTGCCTAGTGTTATCTCAACAGGCAAACGTGACCAGTGCATCAAAAGTATCAAATATCAATAAATCAATTTTAATCCTTAATTAAATCCTCAAAGTTTATTATACTTTATGTCATTCGTATGATAGTTGTGGACAAATCCAGTTCATAAATTGATAAAACATCTTCACACACACGTCGCATTGCACAAAAACCAGTGAACCCTCCAAAACAGTTTCAAGATTTAACATAGCTACCTGGTATAGGTCTGCGTATGTAATCTTTGGACATTTAGACTTTACTTGTTCTGCAATTAGGCACAAAGCAACGCATCAGAAAAGTCCCCATTCAATTTAAATTCTAAATCATTTCTTGCTACAAGATAGACTGAATTATGTTTGACAATCAATTCACACAAATTTCTTCCACAAAATTTCAATTCTTTCCCTAAGCTGCGGAATCAACAAAATCTACAAATAATGAAAATTCAAGCCATATTTGGTCAAAGAAATACTCAACTGGACAGTAAAAGCATTCCAAGCAAAAAAGGCTAGCACTATAGCAGTACATCCTTCAACAAATTATAGTAGATATAAAGGTAATACTGCATAATAAAGAAATAATTCAAGGTCAAGCAGAAGTTAGAGCGTGAAAACGCGTAAACTAACCGCAAAAATCTAGAGCAATTTTCAATCCACTATTAGCGCCATGAGTGTACTCCTCCTCATTGCGAATCGAACCATTAGGACCTCCGGTCTTCGTATTCACATCATACGTCCCCGCATCATGCCACCTTTAAATCCAAAAAAAAAAAAAAATCAAGAAATTAATTTTGATTCGATCATTTCTGAAAAAAAAAAAAAACCTAAATGGTAATTAGAGAGAGAGAGAGAGAACGCTAAGCGAAGCATGATAGGGGCGCAGTTTTTGTTGGAGATAAGAGCGCGGAGTTCACGGCGGGCCTTTTCGATTTCCTTAAGGTACTCCGTATCGATTATAGGCTTCGCCATTGGAATTCTGAAAATCGCACCTGGGAGAGAGTGATGACGACGACGAAGAGAGATGATAATTTGAATAACGACTGGCACATAAATAAAGGAGAAAAATAACGGAGCCTGAAAATGAGAGAACGTTGTGGGCTTTAGATTTGAGCGCATTTATAAGATGAGCAATGCTACTAATAAATAGGAGTGTACGTAAGTGCGTACATAATGTGAGTGTGTCGTAGGCTCCACCACACTCACATTATGTACACGCTTATATACACGTCTATGTACAAGTAGATTAATCCTTATAAGATATTGGGCCGTTTGAGTTATTGCACATATTTTCACTTTTAGCACCACTTTTAAGAAAAATTTCACTCTTCCTATTTCCTCTAAGGGTTTGTTTGATTGTAAAGTCGAAAAATGTGTAGAAAGAAAATGAATTTTAGGGAATTGAATTGCCTTGTTTAACTAGGAATTGTAATTAATTGTGTTTCATTGATATAATTTTCCACCTAGAAAATGAAAATTTGGTGTCTGTTTGACTTTGTTTTTGATGAAAATTGTATATTAAAGTGATAATTTCTTTTATCATTGAGTTTAGAATTTGTTTCACTTACAAAAAAAAATTTATCATACCGAATACCATTCGTTTGGCTTTATTTTTTATGAAAATTATCAATAAAAGTGATAATTTTTTTTTCCATTGGGCTTGAATTTTTCCCAATTAAAAAAAAAAAATCTAGAAAATGAAAACCCACCTAAAAGGTGGGAAAACAATTTCAACAAAAAGGTGAAAAATGTGCACGTGTGAGAGAAAGTCATCTATCAAACACTACAAAAGTTGAAAAATGGAAAAAAAAATTCATGAAAAATGTTGTGTATCAAACGGGGCCTAATTGTATTTGGTGCAATTAAGTTCCTCTTTCATATACTAGCATAATAATGGTTCTTCAATTTTTCTTAACGAGAGTCTAGAAAAGTTTTCAAATTTTCCGCTTGGTGAAATTATATAATAACATGATAATCATCAACATAATTTGTACATACATCTATTGGTTTCAACAATATGAAATGAGATGGAAAACAATCAGAATAAGGGTAATTGGTTGCATGGTTGTGTGCAAAACGTTCCTACCTTTCGTTTTTTGGTGCAGAACGTCATTTTCATTTAGGGCAGTATGGAGAGGTCGGTGGTGGTAGTATCCTGTGG